CCCCTCGCCCTCGAGGCCCACCCTGCGGCCGCCTGCCCAAGTCCTCGCTACCGCTCAGACGTCCTCTCCGCAAAGATTGTGTGCTCTCGTGCGTGATTGTTGTTTCGCTCGATGATCCAGTATGCTACCCGATGGTCCTGAGGGGCAACGATAGGGGGGGACTGGCATAGGGGGGATGCATCGACCTGGAATCGGCGATTCATCGCCGATAGATCGGCGATAGGCCTCCGACAGTGAACCCGCACCTCCCTGGGCAGGTTGGGGCTGTCGGGCCCCTATCGGCGATCAATGGGCGATTGGGGATCGATGTATCCCCCCCATGCCTATCCCCCCCTATCGTTGCCCCCGATGGTCCTCGCCGAACAAAATGCACACGTCCGAGCGATGCCAGGAGCCTTGGTGTGAGGCGAAGGGGTCGTCACGGCAGAGGCCGGCTTGCCAGGGGCCAGTCAAGGCGACACCGACAAGGTCGCACACGCTCCGAAAAGTAAAAGACCAGCTTCGAAGGCCGACGTCGAAGATCCAGGGAGAAGCGGCACGTCCAGGGGGAACCAGGATTATCTTCCCTCTTGGAAGCTCGCGGGTTCAGGACCATTGGCAGCAAAGAGGGGAAGGGGAGCGGGAGGAAGGGAAGAGCAAGAGCGAAGAAGAAGATTCGCCCGGGGCCCAGGTTCCTTGCGAGCAAGTGCTCATGACCTTAGCACCAGTCAGAGACACCCATGCGTATGAGTGGTTTGTTCGCAAAAGGAGGCTAAAGGCTGGACTTGGACCTGACATAAGGCTTTGTTCAAGGTTCGCGGGCATGTAACTCTCATCCTTGGGACCTGGACAGCGCACCGAAGACATCGACCCGGGCTGGATCTCTGGGCGCGACCGCCCACTCAATTGCCACGAGAGTGCCGCGTGCATGGTCGACGCGCGACATGCATGTGGTGGGGAGGCCCGAGGGGAGGAAGCCAGGGGCGGCGAGCAGAGATCGGCCAGGCGCAGGGGGGGGAGGGGGGGGCGGAAGGCTTCTCGAAAGCACCCCTGCTTCTTAGAAGGCGCGGGCCTTGTCTGTAGATGTCAGGCCACCGCCTTCTAAAAAAACGGCCTCCTTCCAAGAAGCCTTCCCCCCTCCCGCTACCCTTGGGTCGGGCATGTCCCCCTACAGGCGGATATGGGCGAGAAATGAAAAACTCCAACCAATACCCCCAAATGGTCAAAAATAATCCGCAGAATATCCTACCCAGGGTATGTCTTACTAAGTTTGAACACTCCTCCTGTAGAAGGACATGGCCGACTTAACGCCACCCCTCTGTGCGCGCCGCCAACCGAGGCCGCGGGGGGAGAATCGGCGGCGAGCCCGGGAGGGAGGTCGGCCCTGGCGAGCAAGGACACGCCTTCAGCTGGGGCGGGACTCTTGCTCCCCCTCTCCCTTCCGCCGCTGCCCCGCTCCGCCGCCCTCCTGTCAGACGCCGCCGACTTCCTGCCTCTCCGCCTCCGCCTCGCCGACCGCTCACGCCGCCTAACTCCTCCTCACCTCCTACTCGCTCAGCCGTCCTCCCCCCGCCGCCAGCCGCCCTTCTCCCGCTACGCCGCCCCCGCCGCCCGACGCCCTGGACTCCCCGCCGCCACGTCCAGCCCGCCTCCCGCCCTACCTCCGACCGCAGGCCTACTCCCCGCCGCCCGCAAGCCCGCCGCCTCCTCCGCCCGCCGACCTCCTCCGCCCGCCTCCTATCCGGCCGCTCTGCCGCCTCCTCCTCAGTCTGCCGACTTCCGCCGCGCTCCCGGCCCTGCCGCCCAGCCCTGGCCTCGCCCTCCTCGCCCGCATCCTGCCTCACGATATCTCCGCCGACCGCCTGTGCCGCCTGCCGCCGACTTTCCCTCCTCATACGCCGCCCTCCCGCCCTCCCGCCCGCCCGCACCCTCCAGCCCTACCCTCCCCTCCCCATCCCCCATCCCCTCCCTCCCCCTCCCTCCCTCCCCCTCCCTCCCTCCCGTCCCTCCCCCTCCTCCCTCCTCATTCGCCTCCTCGCATCTCCTGCATCATCATCCTCCTCCTCCTCCTCCTCCTCCTCCTCATCCTCCTCCGCCTCCCCCTTCCTCCTCCTCGTCCTCTTCTTGTTCGTCTCTTCGTGTTGTAGTATTATTCTTACGATGATGACTAGTAGTATTAGTTTTCCTGTTGCGAGTTAGTACTAGTATTAGTAATAGTATAAGTGTTAGTAGTAATAGTAGCAGTAACAGTATTATTATTAATACTATAATTAGTATTATTAGTATGATTAGTATTGTTACTATGATGAGTATTATTATTATTCGTAGTAGTAATATTGATATTGTTAATAGTATTAGTAGTATTAGTAGTATTATCAGTATTAGTATTAGTATTAGTATTTATATTATTCGTATTATTAATATTAATAGCAATAGTATTCGTAGTATTAGTATTAGTATTAGTAGTAGTAGTAGTAGTAGTAGTAGTAGTACGATCAGTGTTCTCAGTATCAGTAATGCGATTAGCATCGTTATTACTCTTAGTAGTATTGATACTACCACTAGTCGTAGTAGTAGTAGTAGTAGTAGTAGTAGTAGTAGTAGTAGTAGTAGTAGTAGTAGTAGTAGTAGTAGTAGTAGTATGGTTACTGGTATTCAAATTTGTCTTGTTACTAGTATTATTCGTGTTAGTATTCGCATTGTGTGTCTCAGTATCAGGTCGGTTCTTCCTTTAATTATGATTAGTATTCATAATAAGACTATGTTTAATAGTAGTGTCAATTATAGTGGGGATTATTAGTGTAAGTCTGATTTTCTTATTGTTCGCATCATGATTAATCGTGTTCGCAATATGTGCCGTTGTAACATTAATGGTACTAATAGTTATGATTGTTACCCGTGGTTGTTTTAGTCTTATTGTTATTGCTCAAACGTGTATTATTGGTCTTATTCGTATTAGCAATACTCTTCTTAGTAATATGAATATTATTCGTCATAATATCGTTCCTGCTCTTGATATCAGTAGGATTAGTAGTCGTCTTCTTCTTGTTCGTATATTTCTTTTTGTTCGTAGTAGGATTCGTCTTCTTCGTATTTGAAGTATTGTTATTATTAGTCGTATTATTGTTCCTTTCATTAATAGTATTCCTACGATTCGTCTTCTTATTATTATTAGTATCACTCGTCGTCTTATTCTGCTGAATATTCATATTATGATGATTAGTCGTGTCATTAGTATTATCGTTATCCTTATCATTACCCTTCTTCTGAACTTCTTATCATTCGTATTGGTATTCTTCTTATGTGTATTATTACTGATATTCGTCTTCTTCTTCTTCGTATTACTCTTCTTCTTCTTGGCATTAGTATTCGTACTATTATTATTTTCGATGTTAATATTATTCGTCTTCGTCCTCCTCCTCCTCCTGCAACTTCTCCTCCTCCTCCTCCTCCTTCTCCCCCTCCTCCTCCTCCTCCTCCTCATCCTCCTCCTCCTCCTCCTCCCGGTTCCTGGCTCCTGATGGCGGAAGGCATCCACGACCGCAGCCTCCCCCCGCACTCCTCCCCCTCCGATTTTTCTGACGGCGCAAAAGGACACACAAATCCCAGGATCCCCCATATTTTCCTATTTTTTGGGGGGGTCGTATTGCCCCCCACGTCCCATGCTTTCCGATATTGTCATGGGTATCGACGATGAATTGTGTCTGTGTGTTTTTGTTCCCTCCCGATCCTCTTGCTCCACCCTGCACATCCCTGACTCCCGTGCTCTGTTCGCACTCCCGGCAAGGTCACGGCAACTGCTTGGACGGTCACATGCAAGCGAGACGATGATGCGGTGGTTCTTGCCACCTTCCATGTCCCCCTCCCCTTAAGTCGGTCTAGGATCGGGATGAGTCGCTCCAGAGCGTTCCCGAACGCACTCAGAGCGTTCTACAACACTCTTACAAGGCCGCGGCGCCCGATACGTCCCTCAGAACCGCCGGATCTCAGAGACACCCGACCGACATCCCGATCCGATCTGGCCCCGTGTCCCGCTTCGTGTTGCTATCCCCCCCACCCTCCCTCCGCTCCCTCTGCTTCGCTTCCCCCCCAGCGGCGCGGCGGGAGGCCTGTCGGCCCGGACATCGGCTGGTAAGGAGCCACGACCGGGCCGCCTGGCGGTGGGCGCCGAGGGGGGGATCGCTGGGGCGGCCCCTGCGGGCGCATCTGCCGGAGCTGGCGCTGGGCCGGCGGGGGGCGACGGCCAAGACCGTCCTCCCTCCCTCCAGCCTCCTCCCTGCGTTCTCCATCCCCCCTTCAACCCTCCAACACTCCCTCCCTCCCTCCACCCCTTCCCCAATCTTCCGTCCTCCCTCGTTCTCCCTCGGCCTCCGTCCCTCCCTCCCTCCCTCGCACTCCCTCCCTCCCTCCCTCCCTCCCTCTTCCTCCATCCCCCCTCTCTCCCTCACTCCCTCCCTCCTCCCTGCCTCCGACCCCCCATCTGTCACTCCCTCCTCTTCCATTGCCCGTCTTCCATTGTCCCTCCCTCCTCCATCATCCTCCCTCCTCCCTCCCGTGCGTAACCGCAGCCAGGGCACCACCTGGCCCCTGACATCGATGCTTTCGTATCCTGCATCTCTCTTTCTACGAAAGCGTACACTCCTCTCCGAGGCGGGGGCACCCGTCGTGCCCCCTGTCTGGCACATGACGCCCTGCCTACGCTCGGGACTGCTGCCCCCCCCAGCGGCGATGATGTCGGACGCCAGCTAGCTGCGTGGCAGAGGCTTCAGTTTCCTCGCCACGGCCGAGCTGCAACTCTTCGTTGGCCCTTCGGGCTCCGCACTGGCACGCGCAGGTCGCAACAGACTGGCTCTCCACAGGCACAGCCGCGCGGCCTTCACGAGCACATCGATCGCACACGCACAAGCCTCGAAGACGCAGCTGCAGCAGGTAATCACGGCCCCAGTGCCAGCTTCTGCCCATGCCCGGATCGTCGCCCTATGACTCGCACTGCGAACTCTCCTGGCTGCCCTCCTGCTTCCATCTGGCCCAACGAGAAAGCTATGAGCGGCATTGTTCGCGGATATCAGCCCAGGCAGCCTTGCAAGAGGCGGGGCGAACCAAGGGCCGCGGCCAGGAGGAGGGGGGGCAGAGCCAGAACATGAGGGGAACGCATCCTGCCCACTCCTCCTCCTCCTCCTCCTCCTCCTCCTCCTCCTCCTCCTCCTCCTCCTCCTCCTCCTCCTCCTCCTCCTCCTCCTCCCTATTCCCCCCTCGTCCTCCCTATTCCTCCTCCTCCTCATCTTCCTCCTCTCTCCTCCTCCTCTCTCCTCCTCCTGGCCTCCTCCGTCTCATCCTCCTCCTCTCCTCCTCCTCCTCCGCCTCCTCCTCCTCCTCCTGCCTCAAATCCTCTCCTGCTCTTCCTCTTGTGCTCCTCCTCCTCCCTCTCCTCATTCCTCCTTCCTCGCCTACTCCTCCTCTCCTCCTCCTCTCATCATCCGCCTCCTCCTCATCCAGCTCACTCCTGCGGTCTCCGTCCCCTCCCTCTCTCCTCTCCTCCTACCTCGCCTCCTCTCCCTCCTTACCTCCTCCTTCTCCTCCTCCTCCCCTCTCCTTCTGCTCCTCCTTCAGCTCCTCCTCCTTCTCCTCCTCTCCTCCCCTTCATCCTCCTCATCCTTCCTCCTCCCCTCCTCTGACTTCCCCCCCCCCTCCCCCCCCTCCCCTGTTTGTCCTCCTCTTCTCCTCCTTCCTCCTCTCCTCCTCCTTCCTCCTCCTTCTCCTCCTCAGCCTCTTCCCTCCTGCCCTCTCCTCC